CTGGGAAAGCAGTTGAGGACGGCCCAAAGCTTTGGGACCCTGCACCCACGTGGGAGACCCGGAAGAGGCTCCTGGCTTCGGATGGGCATAGTATCGGCCTGTTGCGCTCACTTGGGGAGTGAATCATCGGACGGAAGATCTTCCTCTCTGTCTCTCCTCTCTGTATATCCGCCTTTCCAATGAAAAAATAATAAAAATAAATCTTTAAAAAAAAAAAGAAGTGGAGATGTCAGGACTTGAACCAGTGCCCAAATGGGTGTCCCCACAGCAGTTTGTTATAATTTTTTGTGTTTCTATTGAATTAGCAGTAATGTCCCCTTTTTTCTGTTTTTTTTTTTTAAGATTTATTTATTTTCTTTGTTAAGTCAGATATGAGGAGAAGAGGAGAGACAGAGAGGAAGATCTGTCTGATGATTCACTCCCCAAGCAGCTGCAATGGTCGGAACTAAACCAATCCAAAGCCAGGAGATAGGAGCTCTTCCGGGTCTGCCATGGGAGGGGTGGGGTATAGGGTCCCAAGGCTTTCGGCCATTCTCTACTGCTTTCCCAGGTCACAAGCAGGTAGCTGGGTAGGAATCAGTGCCACCAGGACATGAACCAGTGCCCATATGGAATCTCATTGTGTGCAAGGCAAGGACTTTTGCTGCTAGTCTAAGGCACCAAACCTAAATGAGTTTTGGTTGTTGTTTATTTATGTATTGTAAGATTTTTTTTATTGGAAATTCACATTTTACAGAAAAAATCATGGAGAACCCAGACAGAAATATCTTTCATTAGCTAGTTCACTCCCCAAATGGTCATAGCTGAGCTGATGCAAAGCCATGAGCCAGGAGCCACCTCTTAACCTTCCACTCAGGTTCAGGGTCCCAAGGCTTTGGGTGATCCTCCTCCGCTTTTCCAGGTCACAGGCAGGGAGCTGGATGGGAGGTGGAACAGCTGGAACACAAAAAATATCCCATATGGGATGAGGTGCTTGGAGGTAGAGGGTTACCCGGTGAGCCAATGAGCTGGGCCGTTAATATCTCCTTTTTGATTTCTAATTTTACTTATCTGAGTGTTTATAAGACCTTTTATTGTTAGTTTGGCTAAGTATTTTTTATCTTGTTTTTGTCAAACCAGCTTTTATTTTGACTAATCTTTCACATTTCTCTTGCTTTCACTTTAATTTATGTGGCTCTGACTTTTATTTCTCACCTCCTGCTAATCTGGAGTTTTCTTTGATCTTGCTTCACTGTGAATAAAGTTCTCCATATATTTATTGGGATCAAATGGAGTTTGTAAGTTGCTTGGGGAACCATGGATGATTTGATCATATTAAATTCTAATCTTAGATCTTGGAATATTTCTTCCATTGCTTTCATTGATGCTGTGATTTTTTAAAATTTATTTTTTATTGGAAGGCAGATTTACAGAGAGAAGGAGATACAGCGAGAAAGATCTTCCATCTGCTGGCTCACTCCCCAAGTGGCTATAATGGCCAGTGATGAGACAATCCAGAGCCAGGAGGCAGGAGTTTCTTCCAGGTCTACCAGATGGGTGCAGGGTTCCAAGACTTTGGGCCATCCTCTCCTGCTTTTCCAGGACACAAGCAGGAAGCTGGATGGAAAGCAGAACAGCCAGAACATGAACCAGAACCCCTATGGGACCTCAGCAGATGCAAGGTGAGGATTTAGCTACTGGACCACCGTGCTGTGTTCCAACAGAAGCATTTCTATCACACCTCAGAGCTGCAACATCAGGACCCCCAGACTGTCAGCGACATCTCTACTGTAAAAATCAGGGTCCCAGGGATAGCAGTCCTGGTGCATGCCCAGGTTCAGCATCAGGGCCAGAGGTGTGAGCTGTGCCCTCTGTGTCCAGCAGGGCTGTGGTTCCCAGCTGGGATCACCCAGGGTGAGGCCATGGATTCTGTTCCTGGCTGTGCAGCCTCAACCAGGGTCTCTGTATTTTCTCTTCATTGAATCAAAGCCCGGTGAAGGGCAAATGAGAAACTCCTAGATTTCATTGTGGGCTCCAAGAAGGGAGAATCCATGTGGGGCACCGTGTGAGGCAGCAGGGTCCAAGGTGGTTATGTGTGCTCAGCTGTGGCCTCTTCCTGAACCTTCCTCCTGGGCTGCCCCACCAGGAGAAAGGACATCATGTCTCCAACACCCAGTCTCGTCATTACTGACCACCCAGGCACAGAGGTGGAGATGCAGCTTGGGACACCTGATCTCATCTCAGTGCTCTGTTGGAGTCCTGGCTCCACTTCTGGCCCAGCGTCCACCCAGTGCATGCTCTGGGAGGCAGCAGATGATGCACCAAGACACCTGAGTTCTGGGGTCTGGGCTCTGGTGTGCCACACCCCGCAGCAGTGTGGACATTTGTGGAGTGAGCCAGGGGATGGGAGAACACTCTCCTTTTCAAAAAGATGAAAAGAAAATCTTCAAGTAAATAAAAACAATTTTTTATCCCACCCTCATCTTGTAGTGCTCTTTGTTCACAGGCCCAGGGGTTCCCAGTGTGGGTGACAGCAGTGTTGATCGTGGGGCTCTCAGAGAACACAGACACCTTTGACCTTGGCTGTGCCCTGTCCAGATGTGAACACTGGGAGCTGAAACATCACAAGCTGAGACTGCAGTGACTGCCCCTCCCCCCCGACATCCCAGCTAAACAGAAAGGTGCCCGGTGAGGGTGGGGCCTAGACTTGGGACTCCCTTCCCTGCTGGCACCATTGCCCAGCACAACAGAATAGAGAAGGTCAGAGGTCAGGGGGGAAGTGTGGCTCAGAACCAGGTGTATGTGTTTCCCACTTAGTAAACCTGGATCATAAGTGACACTGCTGTAAACTAGGCTGCCTGCACCCAGGTCTCTGCCAGAGCCGCCCCTCACTGTGTGATGTCCAGGACCCAGGTGTGCTCACATGACCATCCTTCAGGGGAGGCTGAGGTCCAGGTGGGAGTCCTGTCTCCCTTCTGCTGCCAGAGTGTGCTCTGGAGGTGGTGCCGTCAGCACCCACCTGAGTTATATGCAGATGCCCTGACCACTCCAGACTGTATCTACCCTCCCAGTGCTCACGGGATCCCCTCAGCACGTCTGTGGTCCCTGGTTCTTACAGTGACCCTAGCCCTGCAGGTAGTGGGGCTGTGGCTTGTCCCATCCTCTGCCCCCTCCCTCACTTAGCCCTGCAGCTTGTGACCTCTCTTATTATTTTCACTCACTCCCTGGGTGTTCCATTAGTGCTCATGACTGCAAATGTGGTCCACATGGAGCCACCTCCTCAGTATGTTTCTCCTGCACATTTCCCCTCATCACCTGACTCATGGTCACTGCCAGCCCTGCAATGACCCTCCTCACCAACATCCTGGCTCCCACCATTCCTGCACTGATAGCCTAGTAGCCCCTCCTCGGATCCACCCTCCCATGTTGCCCTTCTCCCACTGTGATGCCATCCCCACACCGGCACGGCCTGAAGTCCTGGGTGTCCTCCTCGCCTCCTCATCTTTCCCCTGGATGCAGTCCACAGGAAGTGCTGTGCATCCATCTGCAGAAGGATCCAGAACCTCATCTCTCCACTCTGCCCTCGCCCACACCCACTACAGTGACTGGCATCCCTGCCTGGACAAAGCAGGAGCCCCTACAACTATGTATCCAGCCTCTCAGTCTCTCAGCCCGCCCTCACGCAGCAGCCAGGGTGGTCCCTGGACAGGAGAAGGTACACATGTCCCTCCTCTGCTTGGAGCTGTCTCATGACTCCCACCTCACTCAGAGCCAGGGCTGAGCCTTCCTGTGAGCTTGTGTCCTGCTGGATGGTGGTGCCGACCCAGCCTTCTTAATGGCTACTTGCTCTGTGTGCAGACTTGCTCCTGCCCAAGACATTTTCACTGGCCGTCTCCTGCCTGCACAGAACCTGCCCAGACACCTTTGCAGATGACTCATTGTGTCCTTCCAACCTTCCTCAGGGTCACCTCCTCAGGGCAGTGCATGCTGACCATGATGGTGAGACAGCCAGCTGTTCTGGCCCTCATATCCACTGTGGGCTACCTTGCCCAGCACTGGGTCTGACCCACAGCAAAGTCAGCTGAGTGATGAGCATGTAGCACCTGCCCCTTCCAGACCCAGTGGTTCATTAGTGGAGTCTGAGACAGGCACCACTTGTGGCTGCTGCTGAGCAGGTTTCCTCCTGCTGGTGTCCCCATGGCCTGAGCTTTCTCACAAGTGCCCTCTGCCCCCCTGCTTCCCTCCTACACTGTGTCCTGAACACACAAAAATGAAGCCCATTAGAGCTCACACACAGGAAGAGTAGATACAATCAGCCAGGCACACTAAGGAGCAAAATGAACATACGAGGATGGAGCTGAGGGATGAACTTAAGCCCTAGAGTTGATGGCCATGGCCCCATGCAGCCTCCACTGCCTTGGGTGCACGAGACAGGGCAGCCTAGCCACGGCTGAGTCCTGTGATGGCAGGTGTTGGTGAGCACATGCTGCCAAGAAAACCAGGACACGGGGACAGCTGAGCCTGGTTAGCAATGACCAAGAGAAAACCTGATGGATAGAGCACTGCCTGGGCCCGCGAGGTCTTCAACGGAGACCTTGGGAGAGAACCGACGATTTGGGGGTTCAGTAGACACGAAGAATGGGAGAAGACAGGAGGTCTGATCAAGCTCCGAAAACTTGATTTTCTCAGGCAGTATTTAAGCAGCAGGTAAAGGCAGGGGGGGGGAGGGGGGGCTTACAGCAGGGTGTGGGCCAGATAGGGCAGAGGTCACCATGACAACCGTTATCTTGGGTGAACAATTACAGGTGAAAGGTTACGAGGAAACTAGGTGAAGGATAACTGGATCTTGCATTCCAAGATCATTACAAAGTGAGGAAATAACAAAATGGAGTCACTCCTGCTGTTCGGCAGTTCTCTGGTCCCTGGCAGAGCACTGCCTGGGCACAGCCCTGTCCTCACGCAAGACTTCCCTGCCTCTCTTGTCCCCATCTGCAACATATTCAACACAGCAAACACATAGAATCTGGAAGGTTCTTGGTGCTTCTGTTTATTTTCTCTGTCCAATTTTTGGAATTTCCTCTTTTAATTTTCTCACTAACACCTCGTGATTGAAATTGAAAAAAAAAAAATGAATTGCACAGGGAAGGATGAAGCTGCAGTAAATGACCCAACTTGAGACAGGGACAGAGGACCCCATGCTGGGCTGGGAGGGCCAGGCTCCCACCTCACACTGTGCCCACAGGAACATAGTCAGCTGCCTTTGCAGGAAGGGAAGGCAGGGCTTTTTGAAAAAAACAAAGATGGAGACTTCAGTAAATCTGTCGTAACAAGGCAGTTGTCTCAAACTACAGAAACAAGTTGAAAAATTGAGGTCATTGCATGAGGACAGGAACAGCACAGCACACTTTGAAAATGTTCAGTTACAAGGAATTCCCCAGTCCCTCAGTGTCCCCTTACCCTGCCCCTCTCCCCTTTGGGCCCTCCAGGTCTCACCTTTCAAGCTATGAGAGAGCAGTCAGACCCTGGGAACTGTCCCATCTGGGAGAACCAATCAGAACTTGGAGAGTACCCCAGGGGTGTTGCTGAGGGAGGAGCGACCGGTGGGCAGAGCAGCTTCTCCACGGGCAAGGTCCTTGGGGCTCCACCACCCCCCAAACACACCCCAGTGCTTACCTGCAGCCTTAATGTAGATCCTTCCTTTCCCACCGGGGAGAGAAAACATGTCGTGAGAGGCAGGGAGAAAGCACAGCCTGAGGACCTGCCTAGAGGAAGCCGAGGGGAATGGATCATCTCAGAGAAGTTTCTAGAACTGTGGCTGGCAGACCCAGGAAAGGGTGAGAAGGCACCTCTCCTGAGGTGTGTCCTCAGCTGGGACCTCCCCTGACCTGGGGCTGCTGGAACTCAGGTCCCCATGAGCAGAGTCATCTTAAGGGAGTGTTCGTCCTCCATCTTCACTCAAGCTTCACACCAGAGCCAGTGTGAGCACCTGGGGTTCATCTAGGGGTGGAGGTGTGTGTGCATGGTGCTTCCCAGGAATGGGGCAGCAGACCTTTTCCCCAGGGGACAGGAGACTCAGACCCAGCCCTCACCCTGCCCTACCTGAGCGCTTCCTCTTCATCATCATCACAACAGTGACCACAACTCCAATGAGCACAGCTGCCAGGAGGACCAGGCCAGCGATGACTCCCAACATGGGCACAGTGGGCTGAGGAGGCTCTGAAAGGAGAAGGGACAATAAGGGGCTCTGACCCCAGGGCTCAGCCCTGCCCCTGCTGAAAGCTCTGTCCACTTTGCCCTCCTTACCCCATCTTAGGGTGAGGGGCTCAGGCAGCCCCTCATGCACCACATGGCATGTATATCTCTGCTCCTCTCCAGAAGGCACCAGCACAGCTGCCCACTTCTGGAAGCTTCCATCCCCTGCAGGCCTGGTCTCTATCAGCTCTGTGTCCTGGGTCAGGTCCTCCCCATCTCGGTGCCAGGTGAGTGTGACGTCCTTGGGGTAGAAGCCCAGGGCCCAGCACCTCAGGGTGGCCTTCTGGTCAGAGACTGGGTGGTGGGTCACATGTGCTGTGGGAGGGTCTGAGGGAAGATTTGGAAAATTCAGGCCTTTCATGTTCTTCCCCTGACACTAAAGTTACACTCGGTGACCTTCCTGAGAGTGGACTGCAGAAATGGGGTGGTGGAGGTCAAAACCCTGATGCTGCTTGGATAAAGACAATGCGACAAATGTAGTGTTTGGAAAGTTCTAGAATCAGGTATCTGGCTAGGGTAGGAGAGCCCAGGTCTCTGAGGGGAAGATAGCCTGTAATGAAACCTCCCAGTTCACTGGCTTGAGGCTGAGGACTGGCCTGGGAGGGCCAGGATCAACAAAATCTTGGTGGAGTGCAGGGTACCTAGAGGGTCCTTTCCAGAATCTTCTGTGCCTCTCCCCCTCCCCTGCCCGTGTCCCTCCCCAGGTTCCTCCTCTCCTGAGGGAACAGTGGGTCTCTGGCTCTGAACTCCAAACCCAGGTGGACATCCCTGCTGTGGCCGGCAGGAGAGGGGGACACTGGCCTGGCTCCCACTTTCCTCCCCTCCTTGCTGCCCCAGCCCCGGGGGAGGTGGGTGAGGGCGGCCCCTCCCAGCCCCGCGCACCTGCTCTCTGCAGAGTGTCCTTTCCCATCTCCAGGTGTCTGTGCAGCCACTCCACGCACTCGCTCTCCAGGTAGGCCCGGTAGAACTCAGCATAACCCACTGCCTCCCACTTGCGCTGGGTGTTCTGAGCCGCCATGTCGGCCGCGGTCCAGGAGCTCAGGTCCTCATTCAGGGCGAGGTAGTCCTTGCCATCATAGGCATACTGCTGGTACCCGCGGAGGAGGCGCCCATCCGCCCCGACCTCGCAGCCGTGCATCCTCTGGATGGTGTGAGAGCCTGTCCCCGCCCGCGGTCAGCCCTGGCCACGCAGCTCCGCCCCGCCCTCACCGACCCGCGGGGATTTCAGCTGAAACCGAAAGCGAAACCCGGGCGTGTCCCGCGGCTCCTCCCGCCGAGGGTCTCCGCGGGGCGCGCAGTCTCGGGGTGGGGGACCTCGGCCCCGGGGACCCGGAGCGCCTTGGGCGCACGTGGGGAGGGTCGGGTCACTCACCGGCCTCGCTCTGGTTGTAGTAGCGGAGCAGGGTCTGAAGGTCCACGCGGAAAGTCTGTGCATTGTTCTTGGAGATCTGTGTCTGCTCGTCCCAGTACTCCGGCTCCACCTGCCGAATCCATTCCGTCTTCGGTTCTGCGCTCGGGTTCTTGGCGTCGCTGTCGAAGCGCACGAACTGCGTCTCGTCCACGTAGCCCACGGCGATGAAGCGGGGCTCCCCGAGTTCGGGCCGGGACACGGCGGTGTGGAAATAGTTCAGGGAGTGGGAGCCTGGGGGAGAGAGGGGCTGAGACCAGGGCCGACCCCGCCCGGAGCGGGACCCTTGGGACCCAGGAGTGCGGAGCTGGGTTGGGGCGGAGACTAAGGGAGTGTGGGGACCGCGAGATGAGGCGGCGAGGAGAGAGGAGGGTCTTGAATAAGCCGGGGTCGGTGAGATGGCGAGGTGTAGGGGGAGTGAGGTCTGGGAGAGGCGGCTCCCCGGGGTCCTGTGTCCCCTCCGCGCTCCCCTCGCTCCTGCCCCGCAGAGCCCGTCTCCCTCCCGACCCGCACTCACCCGCCCGGGTCTCGGTCAGGGCCAGGGCCCCCGCGAGCAGCAGGAGGAGGGTCCGGGGCGCCATGGACCCCATCCTGGACGGCTCAGAGGACTCCGATGCTGAAGCCTCGCAGTCGACTTTATAACCGGGATAGGACGGCGCTGATTGGCTCGTCTGGAAGCCGCTCGCCCAATGGGAGTGCGAGCTGTTGCCGCGTCACGAGTGTCCGGGCAGAAGCAGCTCACTCAGTCTGTGAGAGGGGAAGTGACCCTGGAGGAGGTGGGGACTCCCCTGCACTTGCTTCCCTGGCCCAGACCTGCCCTGGGACTGAGACCCTGAGGGCCAGGCGGGTAGCAGGGACTGTGCCCTGACCCTGTGCCCGGCTGCCCAGGCCTGTGTGATGTCCCTCCCTGAGGATAGGCCCGGGGCCAGCTGAGGGATCCTGAGAGACCTGATGAGGACGTGCCCATTTTTATTCGCCAATTTTTATGATTATTTATACCTAGGCCTGTGTGTGTTTTATTGTTCAACTTGATTCACATCAGGAGTATATTAGATTTCAGGCAGCCCCACAGGATGCATCAAATACGGAATGCTGGGACCCAGCTGGGCTTAGTGAATTCATGTTAAAATTCAGGGCACAGCATGTTGAGACCTGGGCACCTGCTGCTTTAGAATCCTGTGCACAAGACCCTAGGCAATGGCCCAGTGCCTAAGGTCCTCTCCTTGAACGTGCCAGGATCCCATATGGGTGCTAGTTCTAATCCTGGTGGCCCTGCTTCCCATCCAGGTCCCTGCTTGTGGCCTGGAAAAGCAGTCAAGGATGGCCCAAAGCCTTGGGACCCTGCACCTGTAGAAGAGCCAGAAGAGACTCCTTGCTCTTGGCTTCGGATTGGCTCAGCCTCAGCCATTTGTGGCCACTTGGGGAGTGAACCCTCCTTCTCTGTCTCTCCTCGCTGTATTTCTGACTTTCTAATAAAAATAAATAAATCTTAAAAAAAAAAACAATCCTGACCTCACCTCCTCTCAGCTCTTCCCCTATCAATTCCACATCTCCCTGTGGTCCCTCCCACCCCCTCTTTCAGTCTTGAGCTGGACCCTAGCAGGGTCCCTCTCCTGTCACCCAGGGACAGCTGTTCCCGCTGTGGTCAGCTGCCTTGCTGATGTGAGTCCGGGGGATCATTGCTTCTCAATAACAGCTCAGCGGCAGCATTGGCTGTCGTCAGTGAGTTAAATGTCATTTGCAAGGCCAGCACCACACATCCTGGGGTTCTTGGAGTCCAGGCTGTTCTGCTTCCACCCACCTTCCTGTTGATGTACCTGGGAAGGCAGCAGAAAATCTCCAAGGGATTTCTCACCCACTGGTTCACTAACCAAAGGCCGCTATGTCTTGGGCTGGAGCCAGGAGCCCACAGCTCCAACTAGGGCTCCATGTGGATGCAGGGACCCAAGCACCAGGTCCATGTTCCCCTGCTGTGCAGGTGGGCGAGCAGCGAGCAGGGCAGTCAGGAGTCACACAGGTGCTCTCATCTGGGGTGCTTGGATTGCAGGTGGCAGCTTACCCTGCCCAGTGCCACAGTGCCTTCCCTGACACTGCCTTTCATATAAACAAGTAGACTGTTAGGTAACTCACTGAAATGGCTGCATTTAATTTAGAGAAACCTCTAGAATGTAGGGCCCATAAGCACAGACTTAGGGCTGTTGGTCAAAGCTGTAACCCCAGCACATAGAGTGATACATGCTGACAAAAAGCACTCAATTGATCCAAAGAGCCAAATAAAACTGTATTTGTGTTTAATTGCATCATGTGAAAAGCATAAAAACCAATACAGAAAACATTAGGGAAGATTTTGCTTCATGTGGGGAGTGTTCAGCAGAGTTCACGAATCCCTCCAGCAAGGATGACACTTCCCTGGGGTGTCAGGTGCACACTGGGACCCAGGTATGGCTAGCTTTCATTCCTGCATCACAGGTTACCACACCTGGGTGCTCAGAACCACACTCCTCCCTGTTCCCATTCCCTGGTCAGAGTCCAGGCCTGGTGTGGCCGTGCTCCCTGGGCAGGCTCTCACAGAGCTGAGCTGTCCTCTTGAGGTTGGAGTCCTCTTCCAGCCTCCTTGGAGCTTGGGGCAGAGTCGAGCTCCTTGCAGGTGGAGGCCTGGGGTCCTGTGTGTGAGGGACAGCTGTCAGGGTTCAGTGGGGAGCAGCTCTCAGAGGCAGGGCACCCACCTACCTGTCCCAGGGTCCTCAGAATCAGGGAGTGGGGGGATATCATGCCTGACACTGAACCCCTCCCACTCTCAGTCCCTCTTTATCTTGGTCACAACTCCTTTAACTCCTCTTCTTCTCTGGCCTCCAATCATAACATTCTGTGCTCAGAGGGAAGGTTTACTGTTTGAATTTTTAGCTCCCACATGAGAGATAGCGTGCAGTATTTGTTTTAGTGTCTGGCTCATTTCACTCAGCATGATGTCCTCCACCTCCAGCCATTTGGATGTAAATGAGAGAACTTGACTCTTTTTGTAGCTGAATAGTATTCCATCATGTGTGTATGCCATATTCTCTCTATCCATTCACCTGATGATGGACATCTTAGTTGATTTCAAATCTTGGCCGTTGTGAGCAGTGCTGCTGTAAGCAGTGCAGCAGGTTCCACTGTGACACAATGAGTTCAGGTTTTTTGTTGCATGTCCAGGAATGAGATTGCTGGATCATATGGAAGCTGCAGCTCAAAGATTGAAAGAAATCTCCACACTGTTTTGCACCATGGTTGCATTAATTTACATTCCTAATCACATTGTATATGATTTTCCCTTTCTCTACAACTGTGCCAGCATTTGTTAAAACCAGAATAAACCAAAGCAAACCAAACCAGCCAGTCAGTAAAGACACAGACAAAGGACTTAATGGGGGGTTCTTAAAAGAACTAGAGACAACCAATGAACAATGCTCAGTAGCACCAGCTGTCAGGGAAGTGTAAATCAAGACTGGAGGCGCTGTCCCCTGATCCTGTCAGAATGACTGTCACAGGGAGGGACGTACATGTGAATCTGTGCACAGGGAGAAGCCCGGTTCTTTGAAGGGCTCCTCAGACGGGCCATGCCAACCAAGAGTAACCCCCGTCTCAGGGCCAAGTGATGGAGACCTTCATTTGATTTTAAAATCAATTCCCAGTGGTATCTACATCAGCAGTTGATTGAATACAGGGATGTGTGCAACGGCTCAGGGCTGTGATAGGGGCCACTAGAGGATCAGGTGGCCTGGCTTGGCTTTTCCTTTGATGTTCACCTGAGTCCGGATTGAAAATGGAAGGCCACATAGATTCTTATGAACAGTAATAAAATGCATCCTAATTCACCATAGTCATTTTTGTATCTTGAAGCCAAAATGGCACATTAATCATCTTTCAGTTACTGTCAATTAAATTGCAACCATTCCTCCTCTCTGGAAGATGTTTTACATAGTATGGTGCATAATAAATTTCCCAAAATTTAATAACTGGAAACAATCAACAAACATTTATTGTCTCCCATTGTTTTCTATAGAAATGTTCATCTGGTCATTTTCATTTGTTTGAAATGAAGGCTTCTGCTCAGACTGTCTCAGGGAGCAGTGGAGCTGAGAGCCAGGGCTGCCCCGTGTGAGGCTGGGCTGTGGCGGCCTCTGGTGGTCAGTGTTAGAGGCCTCAGGTCCTTTCCTCAGGGCTGTGTGTGCCAAGGCAGATGGCTTTTCTAGAGGTGGTGGGTGTCGGGGGGCGGGGGGAGGGGGGGGGAGAGAGAGAGAGAGAAAACAATGGAAGCTCCAACATGCTTATAGTCCTGAACATGCTAGGCCAGCCTCACACTCAGAACTGGGACTTTAAGTCCCATATATCCTGATCTACTCATGCATGATTACTGTATGTGTTTCTGGACACTGTGGCATTTTAATGCATGTGTGCAGTGTGTACTGATCAAAGTGGTCAATTATGATTTCCATGTCCCTTTCATTACATTATTTTCTGTTTATATTTTGAAGATTTATTTCTGTATTGGAAAGGCAGAGTTACACAGGGAGAGTGAGAGCTGCACAGGCTGACACTGACCAGGCCAGAGTCAGGAGCCTGAGCCTTCATCCAGCTCTCCCCTGTGGGTGACAGGGATCCAAGCCCTTGGGCATGTTCCATTACTTTCCATGACACAGCAGGAAGCTGGATGAGAAATGGAGCAGCTGGGACTTGAACTGGTGCCCATGTGAGATTAGCAGCTCAGCTTGTTATCCCACAGTGTAGGCCCCTATTTGTTTAGCGTTCACATATAAGGGAGCACAGGAGACATTTGTCTCTCCACGTCTGACTTCTCTCATTTAGCATAGATGTTTTTTCAGCTCTGTCCATTATGCTGCAAATGATGTTATTCATTTTGAAAAAAAAAACTTATTTATTTAAAAGACAGTTACACAGAGAGGTTGGGGGGGGGGGGGAGAAAGGAAGAGAGAGGATAAGAGGAAGAGAGGAAGAGAAGAGAGGGGAGGAGTGATCCATTTTCTGCCTGTTGCTCACCTCCTAAAGAGCTGCAGTAGCTGGAGCCAGCAGCTAGCTGCCAGCAGTCAGGAGCTTCTTCTGGGTCTCCCACATTAGTGCAGCAACCCAAGCACCTGGGTCATCTCCCACTGCCTTCCCAGGTGCATTAGCAGGGAGCTGGATCAGAAGCAGAGGATCTGGGACACCAAGCAGCACCCGAATAGCATACCAGCATCACAAGCAGAGGTTTTATCCACTATGCAACCCTGACCCTTATCTCTCATCTTTTGATAATCATCCATCAAACTGCATGAACTGATATCTTATTGCTGTTCTCCTCTCTGCTCAGATCAGTAGGTCATTTTGTCACTTGAATATTACAAATAAATCTTATAATCTGGATCCTGCATCTGTCATTGGACATCTCTGAGGTCTGATTTATTGATTTGACAATTGTTACTTTTCCCCACGCATTAACCCCATTCAGATAGTTCTGGCAACCCCATTTCTGAAAGTGGTGGCCTGTGTAGCCAAAGCAGCAGAATTATAGCAAGTTCAATGTCATTTTTTAACCCATGTATATCTGTTATGGTCTGAAAGAATTCATTGATGATGGAGTTCCTCTTGGAGGGGAGGCAGGCC